GTTTTGAAATTCTTGACTGGGTTAGCAGTTTGGTCACTGGCACTCTCTTTACTTTCTAATGCAAATTCTTGTTTAGCTTCTTGTTTGTTTTCTATGTGGTTTAATTTGTGTGTTTGCCTATATCCAATTTGCTACCTTAAAACTCATTAATGGTAATTCTGTGAGTGTGTGTGTGTGTGTGTTTGTGTTTGTGTTTGTGTTGTGCTTATATATATATATATATATATATATATATATATATATACACACACATGTGTGTGTGTGTGTGTGTATGTTTGATGTTGTTAACTCTGATTAAGGCTTGAAGAAGCCTCTCCTATTGTTGAAATATTTGTGCAACGTATTGTGGGTTTCCTTTTGAAATGGGAAATTGGTGTAGTAGCTAAGGAGTGAGGATTGATGTGTGTATGTTTTGATAGGTTCTAAAGTAGTAGTGATGGATCAACAGAAGCTTGGTAGAGTAAGAATGCCCAAACAGGAGGATTGAGGAATATAGATGGAGCAGCAGTAGCATAACATACACATGGATCATCTCATATGGGGCTTTGAATTAAAAGGGTTACCATTATTATGTATCTCTCTTGTTAGTGTAACGACCCGAACCCGTATGTCCGAACCGTTATTCGGTCCTTACCCGAACCTGAGGTTACTTAAGTCAATGCCATCAAGTCCAGTGTTATTACATCATTCTTACATCCCAAATATACTTCGAGAAGGTTCTAAGCATTCCGCCAATATTCAGGATTAACTAAACCAAGAAGAGGAGGCAAGATGCACAAATGGCAGCCAAACCGATCGACCGAAATGGAGCTTTGGTCGACCTAAGTAGCTTATGTACCGGTCGACCGAATTAGCTACTTTGGTCGGCCGGTTGTGCTCCAAAATAGTAAATGAAGCTACTGGAAGTTTCGGTCGACTGAAACACCCATTTCGGTCGGTCGAAATGGCCCTACGAACTGAAAAATGGTACTGAACTACTTTAAACTTGAAAATATGTTTTAGACTAGCCATGGAACCTTAAAACTGAATGAATCCTGTCCCAATGTATGTATAAACATTGAATATAACATCATAACATTCATTTGAACACTGTAATCACATACGTATAAGGGATTTCCTCCATTTACAACATTTTATTTGATCCATCACATAATTCAATAGCCATGAACAAGGTAATTGTATTACAAGTCACGAAGCAAAAACTAAAGTTTATAGGAGTCCATAATTTACAACTTCCTACAAGTTACATTTAAAGTTTTACAAAAGGACTAGACCCCATATACAAAATACAACAAATCAAAAGTCCCAATCTCATCTAGAATTATGGTGGGTTATCGTTCGCCACTTCGTTTCCCGAACCTGAAAAATGTTAATAATAAAGGAGTGAGCATAAGCTCAGTAAAAAATGTCTAAGACATATCTCTTGTGACCTCGTGAATCAAGCAATAAATGGGAAAAAAAAAAAAAAAAAAATAGACAAGATCATGCCAAATTCCGGGGAAAATACAACCATAATATCAATAGCAATAACCCAAGTCACAAATAAAACATATCATGCTAAAGGATGCAATGTCATGTAATGTCTCTCCCCAGTTCCCAAAACAATTTCGTTTCATCGTTCCAAACCGTTAATGCAACCCGACCATAGCACCTCTATGGCGTCACGAGGAAATGGTTGGCTAACAATCCCCGACCACATGGCACCTCTAAGGTGTCGTTTGAGCCTAGGTAGCTCAACTTCTCTCTAGATCACATTAATATCACGGACCATTAGGCACCTCCTAGGCGTCTGGTTTTCATAAAATACCTTTCAAAAACCATTTTTTTCAAAACAATTACATTTGCCTTCAAAACGCTTTCCCTTTTTTCCTTCCCAATGAATGTTTCATTCTTCCAAATGTCAAATCAATAATGGAATTTCATATAAGCTACCAATTCCCAACAACAAACAATTACATCATGCTTTAATTAGACAATTTGACATTTAGCACATATTATGTCATAAATTGCACATATATTTTATCACATCAACTCAAGCAGCAAGTATTTGAAACAAATATTCATATAAACCATATTATCAGATGGAACTCTAAAATACCATAAGCTAATAATCAAATTAAATATACTTAGAAGCAAATGAGGAAAAGAAAATTCACTAAAACCAAATAATGTGTGGATTAGAACACCCCTACCTCAATAGATGCAAAAGCCCCAATTCCAAGCCCCAATTTCGAAATCTCTAAGGGTGGCCAAATGGTGCTTGGTTCCAATCAAAACGACGGCATCGACGAGCTCTCCAACATTGCCTAAGGTAGCACCATCAAATTCCCAAAGGTGAGGTAAAGATCAAGCCTTGAAAACTTGATTGAAATGAAAAAGAAAAAAAAAAAAAAGAAGAGGGAGAGAGAGCTGCCGGGAGTGAGAGAGAAAATGGTGATGGTGTGAAGGTGTAATGGCCTTAAGGACATTAAAAACAATAGTGATGGGTCCCTCCACTAAAAAAAATCTTTTAACTTTAACTTTACAAAGCAAAATTCATATACATGCACTAACTACCTTTCAACCACACAATTAAACTTACAACAATGAAATTATACACAATAAAAATTATGCATGAAACCCGTGACATGGCTACCGTGCACAACAATTCCGATAGCAGGTCCCACGTGAGACCTTCCGGCCCGAAAAATAAAAAAATGCCGAAATGACATCCGGTGCATTTCCAAGAGTCCTGAACCTAGAGAAATGTCCCACCCAACATCTCAGATACACCCAGCACACCCCACGGTGTCTAGCATGCAAAACGAGAAAAGACGAAAATACCCTCAAAATCAGAAAAATTCCATAAAATGGAAAAAAGGAAAAATCATAAATATTACAGTTAGTACGTAATGTCACTATTAATTCTGTTCAACTCATTTGTATAGTCAATTATGTGAGTTATGACTCCGCAGTATGAACTACATTGGTTATTTCTGTCCTCATCCTTTTGGTAAACTGATTAGTCTAATTTCACCTGTTTATTTGTGATTTGTAGTGATGAAGTGAAACATAATTGTTTTTGACAGTTGCTATATAACAAATTAAAGTTTACTTTCATCCATCTCTTATTTTCTTCTGCAAGCAACTGTTATGTGTTGTTCATATGAATACAACCATAATCTTTCTTAATCGAATATGATAGTATGAGCAAGATTGTTAAATTATAAACATGTTTTGGTTTCATTAATCTTCTTGTAATTGGCTTGTTATTACATGTGTATTGAAAAATTAGGTTCTAGTCCTAGCAATGATTCTGTATATAATTCATGTTTTTCTTGCATCCCTATTGGAAGTTATTCTAGTTTGTACATATCATAAATCTTGCTTTGGACGGATATTCATTCTTGATTTAATGTCCATTTGTGTGTATTTGCCCAAGAATGAGGATGTGAATGTGAAAAACTATTACAAGAACTTTTTTAATCTTCAGTTTTAAAAGTTAAAACATTTTATAAGAAGAGATTACTTTTACAAAGAGTGGAGGAAATTCACAAGTCACATGCAGTTTGGTCTTTGGCGAATAATGACCACTACAAATGAAAACCACAATTTTCATTCCTACACTTGGAAGGAATGAAATGCAAGTCAAAAGAAAAAAATAAATGGAATGCAAAGATCTTCTCTCATTGAAAGATTATTACAAAATTAAAATTGTAATTTGGTTGCCACTAATCATGTTTGTGCCTCATATTTATCTCACATGATCTTATTTATACATGTAAATTTATTCATAATTTTTTTTACCAACTCTTAATGGAGAATTTTTTTTTTTTTTTAACAAATTATCTCAAATCATAAAAAAAAATAGATTATCACATATAAACTTATAATTATATTAATATATGTTTAATTATTCAAAATAAAAATAAAACAGTCTTTACCAAACAGGTATCTTGTTATTGATTTAGAATTTTTGACAACAAAAAAAACTTCCAAACGTGTTTTGTTTTTGGATTCCTTAAAACGCATGACATTACCAGTCGTTATCAAACATGGTTCCGATTTCTACTAAAAACACTCCAATACCAAAACACATGTTTTGGTATCATACCGAACCATAATGTATAAAACATATCGTGATCCAAATGACCCCTAAAATATTGACATTTATTTTGGAATGAGAAAGTAATAACCATTAGATTAGGAAATGTATTGAAATTGGAAAATGATATTATTAACGACTTTAATACCTAACTTAAAATCGATGGACATAAAAAATATGACATAGCTATTCAAAATTTTAACTTAAATAGGTATCATTACTACTCTTATTTGTTTTCATAAAATTCTCCATTTCCCTTTTCTTTATCTTTTGTAATTTTCCATAGCCATATCATCTTCTTTCTTCTTTTTTTTCTTTTTTCTTTTTCACAATAAGTTTTATGGTATTCAAATTTAATAATTTGATTTGAACATATAGAATAAAAACGGTAATGTTTTATAATTTTTTCTTACTTTTGCAATTTTGTTTTTTAAAATTTTTTTTTCTTGTTTTTGTTTGTGGGAGTTAGATAAATCATTAACTTTAATCATTATAGCGATTAACAAAGGCCTATCAAAATAATAGATGGATATTAATGATCAAAAACATAATATGAAGTATCTTAATGGTCCGTCCCTACATAGATGCAATTTGAAATATAAAACGAGTATTCATATGTATAGTGATTGAAACTTTAATGATCACCAAAAATACTGAATTAAGATAAATTTATAAAAAAGATTACAACTTTCAAATAGTCAATTACTTTATATTTTAAGTTGGGTCTCATTATATTTGACACATAAATAGTCATATAGACTCAATAAAGTAGTAACTTTTTATTTATCGTGCTAAATAACAGGACTCATTAAAATTATAAAAAGTGGAACAAAACCTTTACGAATAATAAATTCCTCGAAAAGAGAATATTTAGTAAGAATTTTATTGTGAAGGACCTGTGTCATATCATTTTTTTCAGCGGCGCCTCCCGTCTTTCTATGTAAGACTTAATTTTATTATTTTTTTATTTATTTCCGCTTCACCCCTGCTTTATGTGACTTAATGGAGGAAGGATTTTATTTTTTTTATTTTATTTTTTTTCTTTTTGGGCTCCGTGATGGTAGACTTTCTTATTAGTATTACTCAAATTAAAAAATATATATATATATATTCTTATAACTAAATATGCCCAGCAAAATCCGAGAGTTTCCAAGAAACTTCGAACCAGTGCAATTTCCTCATCTGTATATTAACTTCTAACACTCGCACAAATCTTGCTTCCCTTTCTTATCACAACTAGAAACCGACGTCGTTTTCATTAAATCATTGCCAAGAAACCCACCTAGTTTTCTATTTCGCCAACTAATCCAGTGCAATTATAGAAAAAACAACACTAACAGAACGACAACACTCTCACACCCAAATATTCCAGAGAGAGAAAGTAGGGAGAGAAAAACTAAGCGCGAACCTGCTTTCCACGCGTATAAAAAGCTCAAGGTTTCTTCTCTCCCTCTTCAACACAACATCACAAATAAAACTTTGATTATATCTTCAATGGCCGCGAACAACTCTCACTGTTATTTCACCTTACTCTACCTCTGCTTTACGAGTCGACTCAGTACTGTATTGCCGGAAAACCCTAGTCACAACCACGCCCAAATCAGCTCCAACTCGGTCCTCGTCGCCTTACTCGACTCCCATTACACCGAGCTCGCCGAACTCGTCGAGAAGGCTCTCTTGTTGCAGACTCTAGAGGAATCAGTGAGTCAACACAACATCACCATCTTCGCGCCAAATAACGAAGCACTCGAACGCGACCTCGACCCCGAGTTCAAGAGGTTCCTCCTCGAACCGGGCAATCTCAGGTCCCTCCAGACCCTCTTGCTCCACCACATCGTCCCCAAAATGATTCATTCAAGCGAGTGGGTCAACTCGCTTTCCGAGTCGACTCAGCACGTCACCCTCGCTCAACAGACAGTCGGACTCAGTGAAGATTCGGAGCACAAATTCGTCGGTACTGCGAGGGTGGTCCGACCCGACGATGTGGTCCGTCAAGATGGAATAATTCACGGAATCGAACGGCTGTTAATACCCAAATCAGTACAAGATAGTTTCAACCGGAGACGGAGTTTGCGATCGATCTCCGCCGTTAAACCGGAGGCAGCGCCGCAGGTTGATCCGAGGACGAACCGGCTGAAAAAACCTGCACCACCTGTTCCGGCCGGTTCACCGCCGGTTCTGCCTATATTCTCGGCCATGGCTCCGGGTCCTTCACTGGCGCCGGCGCCGGCACCTGGACCGGGTGGGCCCCACCACCACTTCGACGGCGAGAGCCAGGTCAAGGACTTCATACAGACCCTAGTACACTACGGTGGCTACAATGAGATGGCGGACATTTTGGTAAATTTGACGAACTTGGGGACCGAAATGGGAAGGCTGGTGTCGGAGGGGTATGTGCTGACGGTGTTAGCTCCGAACGACGAAGCGATGGCTAAGCTGACCACGGACCGGCTCAGTGAACCGGGTTCGCCGGAGCAGATAATGTATTATCACATCATACCGGAGTATCAGACGGAGGAGAGTATGTACAATGCGGTGAGGAGGTTCGGGAAGGTCCGGTATGGTACCCTCCGATTGCCTCACAAGGTGGTGGCTCAGGAGGCTGATGGGTCGGTGAAATTCGGCTCTGGTGACGGGTCGGCTTATTTATTCGACCCGGATATATATACGGACGGTCGGATATCGGTTCAGGGCATTGACGGAGTGTTGTTCCCGGCGGAGGAGAAGCCAGAGCTGGAAAGGAAAGTTGTTAGTTACGTTGCAGCTGTGGCGAAGCCGAGGAGAGGTAAGTTGTTGGCTTGACTTGATTTAGTTTGGTTGTTTATTGGTTAGTTTTTGGGATGTGGGTTTTGGGTGGGTCGGGTTTATTGGCCGTGGATGGATTGTGGGTGTTTTCGGCGGCTATTCAGATACTTCCGGTGATGAGGTGGTGATAAAGTTAGGAGTGGGAGTCTGTCGGTGAGTCAGACATATAGAGGGAGGGTAAAGTGGTCCTTTTGTGAAAGTATTGACATTTGGCGGGTCATAGTTTAGTTCTCAAATGTAAAGTTTGAGGTTTGAAGGTTTTGCTTTTTTGTTTAAAATTGGTAAAGAAAAGGGCAATAAAATATGTAGATATTGTAATTCATATGTCAATCATTTTGGAAAAATAAAAAAAATAAAAAAAGATATAATAATTAACAACTCAATTATATATATATATATATATATATATATATATATATATATATATATATATTTTCTTGACAAAATAATTATATTGGGATCTTGAAAATTCAATAGGGTGACAACTAGATTTTTTAAAGGTATGATTTTTAAAAGAAAAGTTGAGAGTTTCGGGTCTTACTAAGAACATGTTGTACGTACAAGTTAAAAGATGAAAATTCTATATGATATTAATCAAGTAGTGTTTTGTTGATGACATCTCAACTTTTTTTTTGTAAGATGCTACTTAAACTGAACGGAGCAGAGAATCTACTATTAATGGGAGGAAATTTTTTCACTCCTCATGTATACTTTGGGTTAAAACTTGAGTGTAGAATAGTAATGTATCACTTCAATTCGCTATTGAAGACTAGAAGCATGTAGATATGATGAAAGCGTGTTATGCGAAGTACAAAAGGCATAAAAGTTCATAAAGTAAAATACCAAATACCTAATCCATTGCAAATTTTCTATTCTATATCTATCATAGACACTTTTTTTCTTTTTCCTTTTAGGAGGAAAAGATTATACTTTGGTCTTGTGTAAGAGCAAGAATATCATAAAAAAGAATTTACCCATTGAATTTGGCAGTTCATTGTCCATATCATGTATAGTAGTTTAGATTTTAAGTCACTAACTACTATAATATAAAATGTCAAAAACATGAGACAATACATAGAGTCCACTACAAGCAGAATATGGCTTTGTTTCTGGAATCTTGACCGACTCTACTCTTACTCTCAACCAAATAAACAATACCTATTGTGTGTGTGTGTGTGTGATCTGTTTTGTTTTCGTTCTCATTATTTTATCATTCATATATAATTAAATGTAATTAATAGAGAAGCATTAATTTATGGTTACAGAGACACAAGAATATGCTATGGACCCAGTCTATATTAGATCCAAACCATTGAGTTGGTGTCCCAAGTTGTGTTAACAACTTCGATTTAAAATTACATTTCTGTTATATTAACATCTCTGAAAATTAAGCATCCAATCTCACAAATCAATCTACCAGATGAGGCCGTATTCGAACATGCTAGGAAGTTTACTAATACGTACGCGACTGATTAGTTTCGTTGTTGTTTTACTTATAAGGATGGTTAGACAATACCACCTAATAGTTTAAGTTTTTGAGTCCTATGGTAAACGTATGGTCGTATGGTCCGTCACATCACCAATTTAATGAGTTTGGGCGTGGCTCCTTCGATCGCTACTCGGGATGTTAATTCTACAATGATTGATTCATGCATTTATTTGGACTTATTTTATTGGAGGAAAGTTGCTTTCATGAACCATTTTGAAGTTAGAAGTTGCTTTCTATTGAATTTATATTCCAAAAGTATGGGTGGGGTACTAAAATATAGCTAAAATGTTTTTGCAGGGAAGTTGCTTGGAGTTGCATGCCATATGCTTGGGGCCTTTGGGCAAGACTTTAGGTTTACCACATGCCACTGAACATACCAACCCTTGTGTCAAAAGAGAACTTCAATAAATCAAAAAAGGTCAAATTTAATTTCGAACATATTATATGGTCCGTTATAACTAACATGTCTTAATTTACATTATATTTTGAACAATACATATATGCTGGAACAATCCATATATATTGTTGCCACTTCTCACCTTATTTTTTAGGTCCGGCCCAGTACGTATGACATTAATGTTTTAGATGAATAACACATGACAGTGGTTTTTCTGAGAATTCTAAGCTCATGTGAAATTATGGTACTGTGAAGGTAGTAGATTAGGTCAAGATTCGATTTCTTTTCTCTACCTACTGTTTTTTATTTAAGCAATATTTCACTCTGAACAAAAGTGGACTTATCATTTTATAGAACTATAGAAGTCTAGCTTCGAAGCTATAATCAATTATAAAATTTTTAGATTCACTTTTTATTTATTGGTCAACTTATGTCCAAATAACCCCATCTCATCCAACAACTTCAAACACTGAATTATGTTCAAAATTATTTATGCCTAAGTGTTTATTAATTAGGGCTAGCTTCTGCATGTCATAAGGCTCTAATTTAATTTAAGTGGGTTGTTAGTAATGAATTGTTTGATCATTCAGACCAATTGTCTTGCAAGGATGTAAAGAATATAATACTGATATTATCAATAGAATGAAAAATCATAAAAATGTGAAGGCTTGATGAAATTAGTTTGAAAAATAATTTTTTTTAGATAATCCAGGTATATGGGGTTTTGTCCTGACTAAATTTTCGAGACATCTTGCAAAGCTCTCCCTCCACACGAGTCGGGTAGAGTTCGAGTTTTCACACGTAAGCATGACTCTTAAAAAATTATTTGCACTCAAAGAAGTCAAACCTTAGAGTAAAGTCCTTTTGTAACGTTTTTAGTATAAATTGATAAGAAATAAGTTCTATAACACTCCGTTTGTTTCGACGTAAAATATTTTTCTTGGAATTTTTTTTTTTTTTTTCAAGTAAAATATTTTTTTATTTTTACTTTATCGGTATTTGGCAAATGTTAATATCAAGATTGAGGTCGAGTTCACCGGCAGGGCATATAAAATAACTTGCTGAAAATTTATGGATAAATTATTTTTGTTAAATTTTAATATTTTTTTTCTTCTTAAATATTTTACAATAACCAAACATCAAAAAATAAAAAAAAAATATTTTCTGAAAAATATTTTACGTTCAAACAAACGGAGTGTTAATGTAAGTCCTTTTTGAACCGTGACCTCGTATCAAAACATGGGTTGTACATAATATCATAGAAGTCAATTCTACACTGGTCACATAACAAAACATTAATTTTTTTTAAGTGAAAAACAATTTAAAGCATGTGTTATATATATGTTCAAAAGATCAAATGTTGAATTCTTACTAGTGTATCATGTTTATCAATTGCAGGTACACCGACATTGTATAAAGTTTTAGGCTGATATGTGATCTACTTCTTTATAATAAGGATAAGTGGCCATGGATGGGAAGATTTAGAGAAATAGGTAAAGTATTAGAATAGCTAGGGTTGGTGGCGAGCTATCTATGATTGCTTAAAGTTTCTTGACTGTATTGGAAGGAAGATATTATTGTCCTGGTTGCGTACATATATCAACGGTACCTGCAGAATAATTTTGTAAGCCCATTTGGTGTAATAGTGCAGAATAAGTGTGGGCCCAGTAAATAATTGTAAGAATTTTATGCAATTATATTTTTCTGTTACTCTCTCTAAATATATATTATTTAAATTCACTCACACTTAGAGATGACAACGAGGACAGTTTTGGACGAGTGTCACGGGGTGTACCCAACCCCGCAATCGTTTAGAAATTCTCGTCTGTTCCCGTCCAAAACCGTCTAAAGGGGGCCTTTTCACCCCATTCCCATCTTGTTTAACGTTTTCACTCCCGCGAGCATCTGCTCCATCCCGTTTAGTTTTATAATTTCTCCACATTTTTTATTTTTTTCCCTCTAATACAATTATATAACTATTGAAAAAATAAATAAATAAATAGACAATCAATAATTTAACATAAAATTCAAGGGTACCCAAATAGGCGTAGATTTTTATTAATAAAAACTATCTCTGTTCAAATAAGTTAAACGGTTCCTCAAAACCGTTATAAACGGGATGGGGTGGGACGAATACCCGTCCCCGCTAGACAAATTGTCATCCCCACTCGGACCTTGCCCATAGCTCGATCCCTCCCTCCTCTTTGGAGACAATATGTTACACCATTCCCTCCCTCCTCTTTGGAGACAATATGTTACACCATTCCCTCCCTCCTCTTTGGAGACAATATGTTACACCATTGGGCTAATGGCCCACTGGTTCTGTTACTATTGTTTACCTTTATTAATATTAATTTATTTAGGTGTCTTCCATTTTTTTGCAACTTCACCCTATAAATACTACAATATATCTTACATGTATAACGTGCGAGAAATGCGCAAAGTTTTGATTGATATATATAAACCTACTAAGCCAACGTAACATGCATAATTTTAAAATATATACCATCTATTATATACTCCTATATAGCTTCCTTATTTTATATACTACCTTGCAAAGAAATGTCCCGCAGATGGCTGTTTAAATCACAACAATTTTGTTTTATTTTATTTTTTTATATTTTATTTTATTTTTCCAGAAATTTTATACATGCATGACTCAAGTGCAAGACATTTTCATGGGTCTGGCATGATACCTACACAAGTGCTAAAAGAAACGTTGTAGCATATGTAATAGAAAGTGCTTTATTGAGACAATTTCGAACTTATTAATACTCTCACATCCTAACAATCCAAGAATCTAAGGATGAAACGTTGGAAATTTTTATATATAAATAATAAAAATTATCTATGCATTACTTTTTAAAAAATAAGATTGCAATGTAATTATCGATACTTGATGAATTATGTTGTACTTTCGTGGTTTAATTAGGAGTATGATCATATACCGTTGATTGTAATTTTCCAACTTACTTAAGTTTCCATAATAGAAATGATAACTTAGCTATAGAGAAGTCGTCAAATGCTTTAAAGATGTTATCCAATATCTAAAAGTAGTAGGTGATTTAATCATCAATCAGGTATCATGCCTAAATTTCTATTTAATTGTTGTAATATTCCTTAATTTCAACATGTTGATTATTTGATTAAAACCGACCTAAAAATGTTTAAAAAGCAAAATAAAGTCTCTAGATAAACAGGCAATTTGAAGATGATAGCTCTAGTGGTCATCGTCTGGTCGAAGATATGGCTGGTGGAAAAAAGAGAAGAGAAAACAAACTAGAGGGTAGTCAATTGAAAGCAACAACTTTCCCAAATGCGCCATTTAAATGGTAAAATAAGTTAGAGGATTATTACATATGTATTAGAGAGAGCAATTAGTTTCCTCCAATATATTCAATGTTACAAAGAAAATTCTCCATGCATTGGATATAAAAGGTTGAGGCTTTCAATTCAACATTTACATGTTTTTATGTATTATATATACCGATATACATTCCAACATTTACATGTTTTTATGTATTATATATACCGATATACATTCATGAAGGGCTAGCTGTATGATTCAGCCAAATTACGCTTTAAATCAGTAAAATGATAAATTTGTGAAAGAATTAAAAAAAAAAGGGGTTGATCAAATGTACAAAACTTCAAAATGTATTGGTCACTGCTAGATAGACATTTGTTTCCAAATTGAAAAATATATATATATATATATATATATACATATTTGCCTAACTTTTGGCCTAATAAAAAAATATAAGGTCAAGTGCAGATAAAGAAAGGAGTGAAGGATGAAGTTTTTTGTATTTGGTTTGAGAGAAAGGAAGCGGGGATGCCACATCCCTCCTTTTTTCATATTTTTCTATCGGTCCAATTTTGAAGGAAAGAAGGAGAGAGAGAGTGTGAATAACTACCTACAAATATACAATTTATAATTTTTAACATTTTTTTAAAAAAAATTCTACCTTCTATTATTTTATACCGTGAGGGTATATTGGTAAAAATAAATAAAAACTTTCATTTTCTTCCTTCCAACCAAATATATATATATATATATATATATATATATCACCCCATCCAATCTTTCTATTATTCATTCCATTCAACCAAATAAAAAACTAGAAGATACGTTTTCTTCCCTAGGATTCCTCATCCACCCACCCCCTATCTCTTCCGTCAATTTTTACATCCCTCTAACGTAATGGAGCATTAAAGAGAAGTTCCTAAATTCAAGCACCTCTCCAACTTTATCATGTGCAATAAAAGGAAGTTTCATTGAAAAAAATTAAAAATAAAAATAAAATTAAGGCTGGTAGTCTAGTGATACTTACTACTTTTTCACCTTCTAATACTAGTGGTACTTTCTCAACTAATACTTTCTCACTTTTCAATGTAGATGGTTAAGGGGTTCAAATGGGAACAAAGTAGGTATATAAGTGTGTTTTTTGTCAACATTCCATAATTGTTGCAACTTCGTTGTTTCTTAAATTTTAAGATTGCTTTCAATTGTATTTGTTGGACTAATGCTACAATTACATTTATGATTCATTTGGTAGGAAGGAAATTAGGAAAAGGGGTGGAGAGAAGATAGGAAGGAAGAAATAAACTTTCTTCGTTTAAGTATAAAAGAGACAAGAAGGAAAGGGAAAAAAGTATATGGATGAGTCATCTGTCTTGCTTAACAAATTTTCATTCTACCAAATATAGACAGAAGAGAGGAAGGAAGAAAAATAAGACTTCTATGAAAAATTTAAATTATAATACTATCCTTCGTAATTATTAGATTAACCCAATATCTTATTAGATTAACCCAATATCTATCTTTCTTTCTCTCTTAATAAACAAAGTAAGATTTTATCTCATTCCCTTCTCTTTTATCCAACCAAATAAATCGAGAAAATGATACTATTTGTGTCCTTTCTATTTAAATTTCTTCTTCCTACCAAATAAAGTATTAGAAAGGAGGAGACAATACTGGCATGAAGCTGATTGAAAAAATAGGGGATACAAAGAACCTTGCAATTTGAACTACCCGCGAGCTTCATTGCCATTGGTAAAAGACCTTAATTTGGTTACGGCATGCTAATCATTTCATCCGAATGACGAAAGATTTCTAGATCTTCAATAGTGTAAAATATTGAGGCAGGCTATGTAACTTTATACATTTATAAACTTTCTTTAGCTCTTAAAGATTTTACTAGATTTCATATTGTAAGATTCTTTTGTCCTCAAAACAAAAGTATATTAGAAGTATATAACATTATAAAGGGTCAAGCGCAGAAAACACATATTTTAATAGATTCTATATTATAAGATACTTTTGTCCTCGTAACAAAAGTATCTTATAATATACATGTATAATATTATAAAAAGTCAAGTGCAGAAAACACCTCTTTATTATGTGTTAAAAATTTTGTCTCAAATTCTTATTTTAATTAGGATTCTATTTTAGAGTTATATTTTGTTAAGTAATTTTTTATTTGTTAAGTCTTGACCTTTAAGAAATTGTAATAATTGTCCAACAAGAAATTTGGTTTGAAACTCTATAAATAGATACCTAAGTTTTCGGTTAAAACTTATGAGATTGAGAAAGATGTAATTTCATGAGAAAGTTGATAGGTAGAGGCAGTATGCAGGTTGGTAGAGTAGGAAAAACGCCAGTGATATGGAAAATGCAGATTATGACAATAAATCCAGCTTACTCCATCATTCCTTAAGTCCTATAGGTTTGATCCTGTAGAATTTGTCCCTTTGGGCTTTGATTACCGAGAAATAGAGACTTTACAAAGTTCCTCAGTAGCTCAGTGGTAGAGCGATCGGCTGGGTAGGGGAATCATGATTGGGATAGCGGGAAAATGATCCCACAAAAAAAGAATCGTAACTGATACTATTAGCAAGGAGATAAGCTTATGGAGTGGTACATGGTAAAAAGACATGTACGTGGTATTGGTACTCTATTATTATAATATCTTTACGAATCATAATGTAATCTCTTCTCATCAATTGACGTAGGCCGATTTTGGCTGAATCACGTATATCTTGTGTTTGCATGTGAATGTTTTGTTGGCTTTCTTTGGATTTTTGTGTTCGTACGTTTCCGCAGCCCAACAAATTGGTATCCTGAAATGAAGCACATATTTGCACTAACCACTAACATGTTCTTATTGATTCAATACGCCATCATTTTGATTCACAAAAGTGTACACAAGAATAGACTCAAGAGGGATCATAGAACAATACTCAAATGAAGGCAATGTATGAAGCATTAAACAACTCCTATCTCAATTTGGTGCAACCAAGCAAGCCCTTAGCCAAGCCCAATTTCGAAATCCCTCCAAACCCTAGTAAGATTGGTGTCAAAAGATAGCTTTCTCCAAGCTCATCAACTTTCTTTTCTTGGTCTTCCTCCAAATCCTACTCTAAACCTTTCAAATTAAGGCTTGAAACATAAAAGTGTGTAAGTGTATATAGATATAGAGAGAGGAAGAAGAACTAAAGAGAGAAAGGAAGTGGCCGAAATGGAGGAAGAAAGGAAAGAGGGTTTGGTCTTGCAAAGGATTGTGTGGCCTTCCTTGTGCCACTTCTCACCATCCTATGGTTACTAACCTTAAGCAAGCTTACCATATTGCCCTCCCTCTTCTATCACAATGTCATGCTTGTCCCACAAAATAGCTACCTCTAGGTATAGAAATAGATATGGTATATAAGTGTGAAAAGACCACAATGCTCCTCAATGATAATGGCAAAACCGGAAGAAGTTCCCGGAGCCCTGAAATAGTCTTGACTTTCGAAAAATTCTAAAATTAATCCCATCACCTCTAATTGGCTTAAAAAAAAATAGAATGTACTTCTAAAACCCTTGGCTCAAGAAAATGACCTAAACGACCCTTCGGACTCGCGTGGCACACAAAATAAATAAAAATAAAAATTTGAAAAAAATTCGAAAAAATTCGAGACATTACAGAGAGCGGTAAACTTGTTCTCATACTCTATCACTGTCATACTACCCCGAATGAGGTAATCAAACTCCATCCGTAGCTCCCGTATCTTGGTCATCGGAAAATATTTGTCATAAAATGAGTCCTTGTAAGTGTCCCAATCTATTACTTCCACATCATGTCAATTGGTAACCGACTTCCACCACAATTTCGCATCCTTAAACAAATTATAAGTAGCCAAGATGATCTTCAAATGATCATTTGGTACACCTATAGTCAGTAAATGCTTCTCCACATGATCAAACATTACCATAGGTCAGGACCACCCTTAAACATTACCGGCATCAACTTGACAAACCTAAAAATGAGCTTAAGGTGTTTCTCCATCTCCTCATCTTCCAGTTGCACTACCGGTTGCGTAAATGGTATTAAAGCTTAATCCAGTCGGAAGTGTGGCCAACGAGGATGTTGGGAGCCAAAAGGTACGTGATTGTGTGGGCGGGTGTGTGTGAGTGTGTGCAGATGAGACCAATAGGATACGACACTAGGTGAGTTACAAGTGCACAATTTCACATCGGTGTGGATGGGGAAAGTGTTATATTTATATTCAACACCCTTTTATGACACAATGCGTTTTAAAGTCGTGATGGCCGTGAATCCACCAAAATTTCAGAGTTAAGCGTGCTTAATCTAGAGTAGTACCAGGATTGATGACTCTTAGGAAGTCTCTGGTTCAGAGGAACCAAAAGCGAATAATATTGTGTCTGGATATGGTGAGGGTCGTTATATCTACGCATATGTAGAAAACACAATTAATCCATAAAGTTTTCATGCCCTGATGGGCGATGATATACCCTTTGTGCCGCAAACATGTTATTTAGGGCTGTTTTTCCTTTCTTAATGCTTTAAGCTTAATTATTTCACAATAGCAATTAGGGTGTTACCACGTCTGTATGTCACTGATATTGCCCTGTCGAAACAGGATGAAAGCATAGCGCAAGCAGTGGTGCGCATTTAAAACTGAAACGTGCTGCAAAAGCCCGGATTTTAGTCAACAACGTGCTGAAAAAGCCCGGATTTTAGTCAACAAAATTCCAGGTATGTGCAGAATAATATCACCAATTGCCATAACAGTCGCTCAGATTTCTTTTTGGTTGCCAAACTTGATATCCAATTAAGAATGAAGTATGCATATATTTAAATTTACTGGGTCCTAGAGCAATCTTATGATCTATGAATGATGTGGCTTTGAGTGATGGCTTGATCTTCTCTCCTCTCACTCTCCTTTAATTTTCTTCTAGTCTATGGCCTTCAGAATGTTGAAATTATTGTCTTTGACATGATACGAAATTTGGATAGATATTACATTTATGTAGGGGTGACAAAATGGATCAGGAACCATCAACTCGTCCATATCCGCTCGTCTTTTAATAGTTATGGGTTTGAGGGTCAAGATGGGTTAAGTTATTTTTAATCACTTAATTTAAAGGTCAAGATAAATTGAATATGGTCATAATAAACACACAACATACATCTCTATAACTCATGTCTCTCATCAATCCCCTCTCTAAGTTTTTCTCTCTAGAAATTTCTTCTAAAAAAAATAAATAAGTAAAAAATAATTTTAAAAATAAAAAATAATTTTAAACCTTTTGAAAAAAATAATTTTAAAATAAAAATAATTAAAAAATAATTTAAAAAATTAGATTTTTTTTGACAAATTTAATAGGGCGAAGGAGGTGCATTTCAGGGGTGTACGGTCAAGGTCGTGGGGGAGATACGCCGCCGAGATTCGAGATCGGGGGAAGAAGAGCCGTGTGTGGTCTGCGGAGGCGGACGGGGCCTGGATCAGGTCAGCGGAGGCGGAAGGGACCGGGATCAGGTCGGCGAAGGTGGAAGGAGCCTGGATCAGGTCTGTGGAGACCGCTGACGGGGCCTGGATCAGGTCTGCGGAGGTGGAAGTGGCCTGGATCAGGTCATCGACGGCGGTGGAAGGAGGTTGATTGTATGTTTCCATACTTACTTTGTGCTTAATGCCTTAATGGAACGGCTCGGATTGATGAGGATACATGCATGCATATATATATATATATATATATATATATAGCTTTTGATCACTAATCCATGTCCTACTAGTAAAGTGGATTGATTATAATACTTAGGAGGTTTGGTAACTATTTATTATTTATATAAACAAATTTGGAAGAAAAATATATTCGCGTTTATGTTTATAGATTCAGTTATATAATGAACAGTTCAATTTTATAAATGTGAAAACAATGTGTTTTGTAAATCAGAAAACTAATAAGCAAAACAAACTTTATTCTTTTGATAGGTCTTCATAATAGATATCTTAAAATATCTTAAAATATCACAATTTGTTACCTAAAATTAGTTCTCATGCAGCAGCGACTTTTCAAAAAGAAAAAAATTAGTTCCAAAAAATTTAAAAATAAAAACTAATTATTAATGGGTCCACGGGTCATAACGGATAACCCTGTCCATTTTTAACCTGTTCTGAACGGGTTGAATATGAGTCTTGACCCATATTAATCCGCCCATTTTCAACCCAATCCAAACTCGACCCAACCAGCCCATTTGCAACTCTTGCTGATTTCTGTAATATGATCAGCAGGCATCCACAAATGAACAACTGAGTTATATTTACAAATGAGTTTTCACAAATATCCTATTGATTGGTTTTCTTGGCCATGTAGCTTTTGTTGACACACTGGTTGCCAAGACAAGGGCTTGGGAAGAAGATCGTGGCATATCATTTAGTTGCCATGCTAGATGAGTATGCAATGCTCCGGCATGACACAGAAGAAGAAAAACAAAGGATGAGGGTACTTTTTATCAAGCGAGATAACAAGAGATGATCAAATGCATGTACAAAGTAGTACTAATTAGTCTTGAAATAAATCAATCCTCATCTCACATTAGCTTTCAGTGGCTGATCACCAGTCAAAAGTGTGTTTCTTATACTAAAATATGTCATCTTTTGACATTACAGTATCAAAAGAAGTTCCTTGAACAACTTACACAGAACAAGAAACAATTTTTGGTTCAAGGTACAAAGAAGGTAGTGGGCCCTCGTGCAAATGGTGGTGCTAGCAGACGGCTACCTCTGAATGTTCCACCAAAATGGTGCCAGGTCTTCAATAGAAGATGGAGGAAGGGATAGTGCCAGGCACATTGCTCCTGCGAACTATGTTGCCATTTCAAACGAGGACGTTGCATCTCACATTTCTCGCTAGTTTCGGCTTCACAATAATAATGGAATAAGGAAGCAATCTGTCGGTTGACACACGTGTGGTATGCGATTGTTATTACCAGTGTAGTTGCTGCAATAGGGATTCATCTTTGAACATTGAGGCAGTTTAGAGACTGGATTGCTTGTTTGTGTTGTATTGGCATTTGGAAAACTTTTAAATCGCATTTCTTTTTTTTTTGCTTGCAATAGGGATACATCTTTCAACATTTAGAGAGATGTTGGTTTCTCACACATGCAGGAAATGAATTTGATGAAGAAAATCAGTCTCAAAAAGTAAGTGGATCCATGGTTAGAAAACTGAAGCTTCTTGTTGATTTGCAATTTTACAGAAACAATAGCATCTTAATTCAATTCCCCCTAATTGCAAGGATCCAAAAGGGAATTTAGAAAACACTCCCACAATAGCAAAATAACATCAACATCAAAATACCAAAAGCAAGATACACTACTCCAATAGCTAAACTTGGGAAACACGTTGCTGATCCAGTTATCCAGTGTCTCGAGTGTGATATAACCATAATTGGGGCGTTGTGCACTCCTGGTCTGTGTGCTATTCCTATAACCATACCATACACCATAATTGGGGCGTTGTGCACTCCTGGTCTGTGTGCTATTCCTATAACCATACCATACAGAAGACATTGATTGTCCCTCAAAAACACTAGGCAAGCCGCAGCCACGTGCATAAGCTTGCATAGCTTCTGTTCCATTTTTGCTCGAAGCATAGTGGTGGGTGATTGGGGTGAAAGAGTGCTTCTTCAATCATTGAATTAATTGGTACTCTTGAACGCCAATCCAGGAAATACAATGTTATTTCAAATTTCGTTAGATACTCCCACAATAGCAAAATAACATCAACATAAAAATATCAAAAGCAAGATACACTGCTACAAGATACATTGCTCCAATAATTACAAGATACATTGCTCCAATAATTACACTTGGAAACATACTGCTGATCCAGTTATCCAGTGTCTCAAGTGTGATATAGCCGTAGTCGTGGAATTGCCGAGGCACTCCTAGTCTCAGATATTCCTATAACCATACCATACAGATGACATCGATAGTCCCTCAAAATCACAAGCAAGCCGCGGCCACGGGCATAAGCTTGCATAGCTTTTGTTCTCTCTTTCCACGAAGCATGGGACGGTGGTGGGTGATTGGGGTGAAAGAGTGCTTCTTCAAACATTGAATTAATTGGTACTCTTCATCGCCAATCTGGGAAATACCAATTAATTTGATAGTCAATGTAATTTCAAATTTCGTTACGTTGCCCTTCCCGCCATGGATTGGTATAACAGTGCATGTATAAGTCCACTTTTTGTTTTGACGTGAGAAATACAACACGTATAGGTATAAACATTTTTAATTCCTAAAATTAAAAAACAAAACATATTAATACATTAAAATCAAACAAAACCAAGTACTACAAAATTTAAAATAACCCAAAAACAATAATAAGTACCCGTCATCCAGTAGAAACGAAAATCACTAGTAACATCAATACCATGTCTCACAAACATAGCTCTAAGCGGCCAAGCCTGACATAATCCTGGTTAATCTCCATCTCTTCAAAATCACCATATATATCATCCACAAGACCCGCATAAAAGTTTTGAATTTGCACAGTAAGAACAAGCTTATCTCTCACCATGAAAATGTCCCTATCCATATCCCAATCCCTCGTGGTCACAAAACCACGCTTGTTTGTGCGTTCCTTTCAAGTAAAATACAATTTTAAATGAATAAAATTCATTATTATTATTATTATTATTATTTTGACAATAAACAAAAAAATGAGACCAGATCAGTCCATGAACAATAAATCATAAGAATCAAAATAAAACTAAAACTCACAAAATCACGGACTTCACTAGGCTGTTTGTGTTGCGTTCCTTCGACAAAGGAGTAATAGGTCTATTTTCTAGTAATAAAGGGTTTAATGGAAGGAACTTGTTCTTGTGTTTACCTATTTTGAATAGGGAAATAGAAGCAGCTATAAAGGAAAAGAAATATAATATTACATAGATGGTTTACTTCGAGGGAAACCAGCCTCCAAGATTATAGATGGTTTACTTCAAGAGAAACCAACCTCCAAGATCTACTATGATCACAACTTCCCCCCTCATTTGTAGTAGAACTCCTATTTATAATACTTTATACAATAATAAAACTACCAAAATCTCCTACAATATAGTAAAGCTCATAAGTACCACATAAATGTCCATTCCACTTCTAAATAACTACCCCACTTCACCTACAAAATAGTTAAACACATGACTACTGATAACTACCCACTAAAATCTCCACTTAACATGTAACAATTCCGTCCCTCTAAGATTTGGTCTTGTCCTCGAGGCCAAGTTCTGAAAATCTGTTTTGCATGTCTTTAATATCTTCATACCTCTCAACTTCCTCAGGCAAACATCCTTGAATAAGAAAAATCCTTTTGCAGCTTTTGTGCGTCTCTCATTGATTTATGCTTGTGTGAGCTTCTTGATGTTGGTTGGAACATTAATCTGGTAGTTTGATGATTGTTCCATTTTTGGCTTCTTTGAATCTGTTTGGAAAACTTTTTATTGGGCTTACAATTTCGCCTCATAAAGATGTGCCAACCCAACCGCAGCTGAAAGGTTGTTTGGTTGAGCAGCTTGGACATCTAGCCGAATATCATCTTTAAGGCCACTGACGAAACAACTCACTTGCTGAAATGAGAACACTTTTCTCGCTCTTCCCAGCAGCCTCTCAAATTGGCTCTGATATTCTCAAACGGAACCAATTTGTTCGAGCTTGGTAAGATCTCCGAAATAATCTTCTTTAAGTGCTCATGACCTAAGAGGATATCGAATCCATCTTGGCCTAAACTGGTCCAACATTTAGGCATATTCATGATAAGTACTGTCAACATGTCATTCTTGACTATGGTTTGATTTGTGATTGAGAAGTCCCTTTGGCCTTGACTATGACTAAAGTTTGATTATTTTGGTCAAAAATAAAGTTTCCTCAATCATGGTCAAGGCTCATGACCATGGTCAGAAATAAATTTTCTTCTTAGTCATGGTTGAGACTCGAAAGCCACCATGGTTGGCTGAAACTCCTAGGCCATAGTGATCGAGACTCTTAGGCCATTAGTTGAGACCTCCTTGGTCATACTAATCGAGACTCTTGACCATGTCTGGTCGAGACTTCTAGCCCCTAATGGTCGAGAGACTCTCTTAGGTCATAGAGAGACTTAGGCCATGGTGACCGAGACTCATTATTATAGCCGATTAGTTTTCCCAGGTCATAATGCCTTAGGCCATGACTTGATCGAGGGACCCTGGCGTTAATCATACTTGACTGAAAGTCTAAGGTCATAGTGATTGGGGAACTTTCTTAGGTCATAGTGATCGAGAATCTTAGGCCGTGATAGTCGAGACTTTCTTAGCTCATACTGACCGAGAGTCTCTCTTTGGGCTATGACCCCAATATCTTATCTGAACCTAAGAATTCCATTCTCCCTAATTATCGGCCTTAAATTTCGATCAACATGATTAGAAATTAATCTTTTGCCCCAACGATCATGGGTTGATCCAGAGTCCGGACCCCGGGATCTTCGTCCACGTGGCATGATAATTTTCAATTATAATTTAGGTATTAACAACTGCCGTCTAACTTTATGAAAATGGGTTCATACCAATTTTTTGTAGAATTGTATTTACTTAGGCCAGTCTTCATGTTCAGCCTCTTGTGACCATTCATGGCCAATTTTGGCCTTAATTTATTAACAATTAAACCCGTACACCATTTGAAAAATGTACAATTTTATTTCAAATGTTAACACACAATGTGTCCAATTGACCATGGTGCACGTGTCTGCATAACTTACTTCCACTTTAGTCATTTTAAAGCTTCTAACCTGCAATAAGCCGTTTGTACCCTGAGTTGGAGCTTCTTATGTGCAACAACTTCTTGTAATTTAACCATGTCCATGTGTGGTTTAGGTGCTCATGCAAGCTAACAGGTAAGAATAACTCGATATATATATATAGAGAAAGAGAAAGAGAGTAACATTAAATGAGAGAAATGAAAAAAACTTCCACAGAGAGAGAGAGAAATGAAATAGCTTTTCATTCAAGTGTATATCAAGGCAATACATACACATGACCTTTATAGGCTCATAATGTAGCTTCCCTTATAAACCACAATTGTGGTCTTATTCTCCCCGCAAAACGTGACCTCATGGATGACTTAATCCATTTAGGGACCCCACACAATTATATATATACATAACACTCCTCTTTAGAGTCTACAATACTACACTAAGAATATACCTCGTTAAAACTTTGCTAAGAAAAACACAGTGGAGCAAAACCATAGCAAAGGAAAAAGAGTAAAGTATTCTTGTGTATCTGAAAATGGTATTGCATAAATTAAAATTGCCTCATTAAAACCTTGCCAGGAAAACCATTGGGACAAAACCTGGACGAAGGAAAAAGAGTACAGTATGTCAATACCTTTTCGATCAATTGCTCCCCCTCATTAATTCAATCCTGAAGATCCTTTAGTTGATGCATTCCCAGGCTTTATCCATATAAAAACGTTTCAGGATCTTTTCTGTATATGTTGATTGATAGACTTTAAATAAGTGGACGTCTTTTCAATCTCGTCTAATGTTCCCACAAGATTCAGATCATCAACATATACTGCAACAATAACAAAACCAGATTCTGATTTGTTAAAAAAAAAATGCATGAACAAAGATGATTGTTCACATACCCTTCTATGAGTAAATAATCGTTAAAGCGATTGTACCACATTCGTCCAGACTGCTTCAATCCATATAAGAATCGTTGTAATTTTATTGAGTACATATTACGTAGTTTTGTTTCAGATATTTTAAATCCTTCTGGGATTTTCATATAAATATCACTATCTAGTGATCCATAAAAATTTGCTGTAACCACGTCCATTAGATGCATATGCAATCTTTGTGTGACTGCCAAATGTATTATGAATCTAAATGTGGGTGCATCGATCACAAGGGAGTATGTTTCCTCATAATCAATACCAGGTCTCTATGAGAAACCTTGAGCTACCAGTCGGGCTGTGTATCTCACGATTTCATTTTTCTCATTACGTTTTCGTACAAATACTCATTTGTACCCAACAGGATTAACACCCTCAGGTGTCTGGACTACAGGTCCAAATACTTCACGTTTAGCTAATTAATTTAGCTCTACTTGTATCGCTTATTTCCATTTTGGTCAATCATTCCTTCGTCGACATTCTTCGACGTTTTGAAGTCCCAGATTCTCATTATCAATATCAAGATGAACGACATATGAGAATATGTTGTCAATAACAATTTCATTTCTATTCCATCTTGTTCCATAATTTAGTTAGATCTCATCATTTTCAGGCACCTTTGCCTCATCAAGAGCATGTGCCTTATCAAGTGTCATATCATCATTTGTTGCCTTTGCCTCATCAATATTTATAATTTCATCATTTTTAAGTATCTGGGCCTTATCAAGAGCTTATGTCTTATCAAAGACTATTATCTCAGATTGATCAATAATATCTATTGCTCCTTTTGTGGCCTCTTCAGGAATGCCAATTTTTTTTTTATGATTTTCTCTTATGAGTAGCAGTATCTTTTGCACCGACTGGTCTACCACGCTTCAGACTTGTTTTAGATGCATTTGCTACATTACTGCTAGAAAGTCCCCTAGGGACAGCAATTCGTGCTGGAATATTTGCAGCTGGTAGATGTGATTTTATTACTTTCTTTGTATCAGTAAATGCATCAGGTAATTAATTTGCAACCTTTTGCAAGTGAATGATCTTTTGAACTTCTCGTTCACATTGATTTGTGCGAGAATCAAAATGAGAAAATTCCAAGACATTCCAAGTAATATTATGTTACTGTTATGCCTTTCCTCCCCCTAATGGTAAGAAAACAACCTTATCAAAATGACAGTCATCAAATCGTACTTTAAAGACATCACCTGAGGTTCACGATATCTAATAATAAATGGAGAAGCAAACATAAATTCCAAGTTTACGTTGAGGACCCATTTTAGTGCGTTGGGGTAGTGCAATTGGAACATATACAGCACAACCAAAAACTCATATGTGAGATATTTGATTGTTGACCAAAAACAAATTGCAATGGTGAGTACTTATGATAAGCAGTTGGTCATATACGAACTAATAATACAGCATGTAATATGACATGGCTCCAGGTAGAAACAGATAATTTTGTTCGCATAAGTAAAGGACGACCAATTAACTGAAATCTTTTAATAAAAGATTCGGCCATACCATTTTGAGTATGAGTATGTGCAACAGGATGTTCAACATTAATTCCAACTGACACGCAATAGTCATCAAAAGCTTGAGAAGAAAATTTAGCAGCATTATCAAGACGGATTGTCATTCGGCCATACCATTTTGAGTATGAGTATGTGCAACAGGATGTTCAACATTAATTCCAACTGACATACAATAGTCATCAAAAGCTTGAGAAGACAATTCAGCGGCATTATCAAGACGGATTGTCTTAATTGAGTAATCAGGAAAGTATGCCCGTAATTTGATGATTTGAACAAGAAGTCTAGCAAATACAACATTACGAGTAGAAAGTAAACTTAGCAAATACAACATTACGAATAAAAAGTAGACAAACATGTGACCATCGTGTTGAGGCATCAATTAAGACCATAAAATAGCAAAATGGTCCACAAGGTGGATGAATTGGCCCACATATATCCCCATTAATTCGTTGTAAAAATGGAGGAGATTCAACAATGACTTTTGAAGGGAATGGTCTAATAATCAACTTACCTTTTGAGCATGCGATGCATAGATGATTATTTAGTAAGATGATTTTTGATCCTTTAGTTGGTGTCCATGTGAATTTTCAATAATTCGACGCATTATTATACTCCCCAAGTGACCAAGTCAATCATGCCAAAGCATAAAAAGTTTTGAGTCACAAAATTGTTTATGTATCACAACATTTGACTCAATTGTCCTAATAGTTGTATAGTATAACAGGGAAAAGAAAATAGGGAGTTTTTGTAGTATCAGCTTCTTACATGAGGTAATGAAAGCAATGTAAAGATATTCCACATTTCTTTCATTTGCGGTCTCAATATGATACCCATTACGACGCAAGTCTTCAAAAACTCAACAGATTTCTCCGAAATCTTGTAGAATATAAGGCATCATTGATTTGTAATCTTGTTCCATGTGGTAAAATGATGTTGGTTCGTACGGAACCTTCAATCAAGTCGGTGGGACCTGATATTGTACTGACACTAGTGTCTGTCAAAATTAGGTGAAAAAATTATTTTTGATCTCAAATGATTGTGTGTGTCTTCCACTATCTGCAAGACATATATCTTCACAATTTATTTTAGAACTAGTCAGATCCATTCATATTCATGCAAATTTCTTTATTAGAAAAGAAACATTTATAACAAAAGAAACTTTAATATAAACTAGAAAATAAAAATTTTAATATAAGAAAAATAAAAACTTGTTGAAAATAACATAATAGACAGAATATGAAATCAAAATAGGATTAATTGGTGTGGACATTTCCATCACCAATCAGGAAGTCTATCTTTCCATCACGATCCTCAAAAAAATCTGATACATCCAGATTTGTAATGTCAACTGGCTCAACATGATCAGTAAAATTCATTTCTTTTTGTTTCCCCTTTTCTTTCATCGAGGCTCGGTAAAATTCAGCTAGATATTTAGGTGTACGACAAATGCTTTGCCAATGCCCTATCATTCCACACCGATAACAAGTATTATCATGTACCTTGGGAGGTTAAGCCACATCTTTCCCTTTTACTTATTTCATTTCTTTATAATCTCTCCTTTGGAGATATGGTGTAGATCTCTGATTGCGAAAATTTGAGGATTGATACACTCACGGTAATAGGAGTGATTTCTACCATGACCATATTCATTATTGTGGTAGTTTTTTTTACCACGACCATATTCATTATTATAGCCATTTTTACCACCACAACCACGTCTACGACTATGGAATGAGGCAACATATGTTTCAGGGATTGACGTCCACGACTACGGAATGAGGCAACATATGTTTTAGGGATCGGTGTCAATCCAATTAGACGAGACTGGTGGTTTCTTAACAAAAGCTCGTTATTTTGCTCTGCCACAAGTAAACATGATATCAACTCTAAATATTTTTCAAATGTACGCTCTCAATATTATTATTGTAAGAATACATTCGAGGCGTAAAATGTGGTGAATGTTTTTCCCAATAAAAGTTCATCAGTGGTGGTATCACCACACAATTTCAATATAGAGCTGATTTTAAATAGAGCAGAGTTATATTCAGCTGCAGTTTTAAAATCTTGCAACCGCAATTGCTGCCAGTTAGTCCGAGCCTTTGGGAGGATAACTGTTTTTTATGATCATATCTTTCTTTCAAATTTTTTCACAAACAAAGTGAATCTCTTTCAGTGAGGTATTCAATGTTTAGCTCCTCACTAATATGGCGTCGAAGGAAAATCATGGCATTTGCTTTATCTTGTAATGATGCATCATTCTCTTCTTTAATTGTGTTTCCGAGGCCCATGGCATCTAAATGGATCTGAGCATCCAAAATCCAAAATAAATCATTTTTGCCAGAAATATCCAAGACCACGAATTCCAGCTTTGTCAAGTTTGACATTTTGAGAATAACTAGATGTGAAGACAATATAAAAGTACCATTTAGCATAATATATAAATAAATAAAATGACATTAAGTAAAACAATAACATAATATGAATTATTTAAATAACAAAAGCGGTAAAACCAGCCCTAGTGAATAAATTATTAAACAATAAATGCGGTAAAACCAGTCATAAATCATTAAATAATAAATGTGGTAAAACCAACCATAGTGCGAGCAAATATATAATTTAAGTAAACAAATTTATTTTATAAACAATAATCAATAATTAAAATTTTCCTACCCTTTGGAGTCAGAAATGAAATAGCTTTTCATTCAAGTGTAAATCAAGGCAGTACATACACATGGCCTTTTATAGGCTCAAAATGTAGCTTCCCTTATAAGGCACAATTGTGATCTTATTCTCCACACAAAAGGTGACCTCATGGATGACTTAATCCATTTGGGGACCACACACAATTATATATATATATATATCAAAATGTAGCTTCCCTTGTACGCCACAATTGTGGTCTTATTCTCCACGCAAAAGGTGACCTCATGGATGACTTAATCCATTTGGGGACCCCACACAATTATGTACCCTATGTATATAATTATATACCCTATGTATGTACATAATTGTGTGGGGTCCCCAAATGGATTAAGTCATCCATGAGGTCACCTTTTGCTAACAATATATGTATATTTGGAGAAGGTAATAACTTGATATTTTTAAGTACCCTATGTATGTACATAATTGTGTGGGGTCCCCAAATGGATTAAGTCATCCATGAGGTCACCTTTTGCTAACAATATATGTATATTTGGAGAAGGTAATAACTTGATATTTTTAAGGGACCATATCTATGGTAGCTTTCATTCATTTCAGTGGGTATGAGTAGATGTACCCACCAGGGCAATCCATGCAAAACTCACCCTAGCTACACCCACTTTAGCCTCTAGGTTGAAACTACCATTTGGTTGTGGGTACTATAATTTAGACTTCAAACTTTTAACCTGCAATACCCCGCTTGTACCTTGAAAGTCCATTCCTACAACAAGTTACTTGTACCAAGTTTTCTAATCACTTGGTTGTGGTTGTCTTCGGTGGGAGATGGTTAGAAACCTTTGGTAGCTTTAGTGCATTTCTTACCTGCACATGCAAACACACTTGTACCAAGTTCTTGCCTCTATTAAGTTACGTGTACCCACTCCAATCACTTGGTTGAGGTTGTCACTTGGGTGGGTTAGGTATATACACTCATATACCCTTCTCAACCTCACTTTAGTCTTCTTCTTCTATATTCATCAATGACTGAAAATACACCGGAACTCGGAATAAACTTTAGGGATGGCAATGGGGCGGGACGGGGAGGGGATCTCATTCCCCGTCCCCATCCCCGCTTAAAATTTCACCACCACCCATATACCCGCCCCCGATCCCTTATTCCCAGCCCCGATTAATATACATTATTTTTTAAAAAATAAAAAACATAATTTTTCTTATTTTCATATATATATTAAATCTAATTTAGTAATAAATTATTAAATGCAAAAGTATATTAGTAATTTAACACTTAATCAAGGCGGGGCGGGGAACCCGTCCCAGCCCACGCCCCAGCCGAGTTTTTAAAATTTACCCCCATCCTCATCCTCGTTTACATAAAAAAGGTCCCCATCCCCACTATAAACGAGGCGGGGACCCAACGAGGATGAGGAATTTGTCATCCCTAATAAACTTCATCAATTTGGTATTCTGATGGTTCCTCGATTGGGTCACTCTTCCCTATTCGATTTAGATCACTAAAGCTGTCCGGACATGTTGATGAAGAATGAAGGATGAAGCTCTCTGTATAAACTGAAACTTCCTTTGCAAGGGCGGATCCATAAATTATTAATGGGGTGGGCTCTAATATACACATAGATCCGCCCTTGGGACCTAGGGTTCATTGAGGTAAGAATCATCAAAATGGTTATTACATGTTACTGGCATGATTTATATACGATAATTATGGAATTACACTATTAATTATTATATATATATATATATATATATATATATATATATTTTTGGCAAAGAACCGAGAAGTAAGTCCTTGAAGTCTCGATTTCGAGCTGCACTCTTAACTTAAATGGTGCGTGTGTTGTGGGACCAATACAAGTACCCTAAAAAAAAATAATAATAATAAATAAATAATAAAAAAAATAAAATAAAAAATAAAAACCTATTAATTATCTTACTAACTAATGGCTTTCTATAGTGCATGACCTCAAGTCTTAAAGCATGTGACCTATATGAACACCCCAATATCTAATTGCAGCGGTAACGCTGTTTGACTAATATAAGTGACGAAATTGTTAAATTGCTAAGTGATGGAGCCAATTAAGGTCCAAGAGATGTGTCCGCACAATTTTTAGAAAATTGAATTTTTATGTGTATGTTTTTTAAAAAAAATTGAAAAAATTACATTTTGTATATATAAGGGTAAAGTGCGAAAAGAAAAACCCTCTAAACTATGCTTGAATTTGCAAATAATCCCCTAAATTATATTTTGTGCATAAAACCCCCCTAAACTATCACATTTTGTTACAATATATCCCAATGCCTATACTATGTTTCATTAAATAACCATAATATCCCTTCTTATTGAATTACACTTAAGCTATTTGTCAACGGGCTAATGAATTAGCAGTATCAGCCTCTTACCTCCCAAAGGGAGGTCAAGAGTTCAAGTGTCAGAAGATATAAGTGAGGAAAAAAAAAACACACTTAAGCTATTTTCTTATTAAAATAAATCATGAAAAAAAATCATATTAATTTGATGACATATTCTCCATTAATTTTTTAACTTTTGATAAAAATATTGCATGAAAAGAAAGTAATTTTTATTTAAGTATTATTATTTTTTCATCAATATATTGTATGAAAAAAGATATTTTTTTACCGTAAAAAGGTTTAAATTGGTTATAATGAGTTTATTATAAATAATAATAATTTAATAATAATTTAATCATTTTAGAAAATGCTAGTTACAAAACTATTAATCTTTTTTTCATTTTTATGATAAATTTATATTAATAATAAAATTAAGATAAATAGTATAATTAATATTAAGATAAGAGAAAATATAATAAAAATAATATTATAATAAAGGTATATTTTAATGCAAAAGGATAAAATAGTCTTTTGTGATAGATTTGTCCTTAATTGCAACAAATCAATAGTTAAAGGGAGCCGTCTTTAGTTTAGGGTTAATTGCAAGTTCAATGGATTTATTTGAACTTTACCCTATATATATAAATTTTAGAATTGTCCCGTCTTAGTTTTTTTATTGCATCATGCCCCTTAACATAATTTCCGGTCCCGTTAATGCAAATGGTGATCTTATTAGTATCTATTTACTGTAAAGCACATATAAAGTAAAAACACCATGAAATGTGAAAAATAATAATAATAATAATAATAGATAGAAAAACAATGAAAATAGACAAGTTAGCACTGATAGAACAATAGATCTCATGAGCTTACCTTTTTTTTTCCTATTCCTCCCATCCCAAAATGTAAACCTGCATAAAAAAGAGACATGAATTATACATGCATTGTGGTCATAGTTTGATAGGTGAGATAACAATGAAAACACACATAAAACCCGCTTCTTCAATTTTGTACCCATGCAACTTTAAATTCTTTAATTTTGGACCTATCTATTATAAATATATTCTATAAATGTTTAACCGTGAAAATACACAAATCATTAAGAATAACTTGTCCTGAAAGGGTGGATGTTCAAGCCCGTCATCCCACAAAAAACGACAATCTCTCTCTGCCACGTTAACCTATGTTGAAAATTACTTAGGAATTGAAATATATGTTGGATATATTGGATCTCATACTCTAAAAAGAACCGATCTTTAAAAAAAAAATTACTTAGGAATTGATGAACATATATTGAACATATTGGTTGGGGTTGGAAAAGGCAACTGTTTTAGGAATTTAGGAATTGGAAAACAGATTTGATTTAGCAACTAAAAAAGAATCGATCTTTGGGTCTGTTTTAGGAATTGGAAAACAGATCTGATGACCTTTGAAGGAAAAAAAAAATTTCTGATTCACAGATCCAATAGATATGACGACAGAAATCTGATTTGAAGTTTAATCAGAAAAAAAAAAAAAAAAAAAAAAAAGGAAGGAAGAAGCAAAGTTGAAAAATATCGAATATCTCACCTATAATCAGGCTCTTCTCTTCTCTTCTCTTGAATCTCTTTCTCTTCCTTTGCGAGGCCTCTTCTCTTCTCTTGAATCGCTCTCTTTCTTTGGGAACCACTTCCATTACCCCCAACCAGCCGCACATCCAACAATATGGTATAGGGTTTCATTCAAAAGAAGACACTTCTCTCGAAGACATCAATCACCTGTAGCGTTATTACTGTGCCAGTCTTTTAAAGACTTGCCATCTGAGTCAAGGATCTGGCTCCTCTTATCCAACGGCCAAGATTTGGCCACGTCAATTAAAAATTGAAATTGAGGTCATTGTACCAATTAAAAAAAAAAAAAATCGCGAATCAACGGCAAGGCAAACGATGACCCAGTTCTCTCTCTCCTACCCCCCACACTTCCAATCCCAAACCTGGTTTTGCTGTGTCTTTTTCTGTGTCTCTAACTATGCCCAGAAAATACCATCCTCGAAGGGACGTGCCTCGCGGAGAAAAATTATTGTACCATACGCGTCACTTGGCTGAGTTGGTGGTCTATCCCAATTAATTGTAGACACATATAATAAAAAAAATTATTTTTAGATTAAATTTGTCACATCAACATTTATATCTCAACTCTAACTTGCCCCCTCCCTCCCTCCCTCCCCCCCTCTATCTCTCTCTCTCTCTCTCTCCCCGACTACAAACTACAAAAGCTACAAGAATCGGAAGTTCAAAACTCATATATTTCAGTTTATTTATCTGTCTGCAAGAATCAGAAGTTGAAAACCCATATCGGCATATCATTTCAGATTGTTCAAAAAATCAAAACCCATACCTTTCAGTTTCCATCGCCCGTTGTTCCAGATCTTATTTGGAGCATACATAAGAAACAGTGGCCACAATTGGGGATTCAGATCCTTTTAACTCACCATCGTTTTAGAGAGAGAGAGACTATTGGGTTTTGAACTTCTGATTCTTGTAGATTTTGTAGTTTGCAGTTACATAGAAAGAAAGAGAGGGTAAGAAATAGAAACTGATTGGGAAGGAACAGCGGCAATGGAAACTGAAAGATATGGGTTTTGATTTTTTGAATAATCTAAAATGATATACGGGTTTTCAACTTCTGATTCTTGCAGACAGATAGATAGACTGAAATATATGGTTTTTGAACTTTTGATTCTTGTAAATTTTGTAGTTTGCAGTTGCAGATAGAGAAGGGGGCAAGTTCAGATTTGAGAACGAGAATAGAGATGGAGGTGATTGGGGGCGGCTGAAAGAAGAGTGAGACTTTGCAAAAGTGATGTGGCAAGTTGAATATAAAAATAATTTTTTATTACATGTGTTTATAATTAATTGGTCCAATTGGTATAGACCACCAACTCAGCCAAGTGAGGCGTATGGACTTGGTTCATACAATAATTTCGCTGCCTCGTATGTGATCATTTTCATTCTTTTTTAATCAGTAACTCCTAATCCCATTAATTATAGTCAGAAAATTAATATATATATATATATATATATATATATATATCCATTAAAAAAATTAATTATCTATAGATTTAGCAAACAAACCGAACTCAGAACCTTTGTACTCTGTTTGGTAAGCAAGAAAATAAAGAAAACCAAAAGAATCCCAAAAATACAATTTATAGTTATTAAAGGTGATTTGGAAAGAAATTACTTGTGGCTAAAAATTCAATTAACCTTTTTATTCTTTCTTTTAAAAAGTGAAATATAGTAAAATAAAGTGTTAATTATTATTGCAATTCATGTTCCAACCTATTAGTAGTCTATTATAGTTCCACACAGACACTTATATAGTAGTAATTATTTCAAAGGAGTCAATTATTAGATGCCAATATTTTTTTTATTATTTACAGTTTTTTTCTCATATTATTTATAAACATGTAGGAAACATATGTAGATATATATATGCACGGGTCAATTATTGTCATTATATATAAGCAAGTTTGTTTTTATCTCACTCAATAATTTACCACTAACCACATATAGTTCTCATCTTAGAGGGGACAATTATTGAATTTTTTTTTTTTTTTTTTTTTTTTTGAAGGTAACACTCCAAAAGGGATTTGAAATCTCAAACCTAATGCCCTTGTAAATTCCACTTTGAATTGATTAACATATGCCTATTTTCACTTGGGATAAGCTTTGAAATATCAATCAATCTAAGGATCCAATCCTAACATCTACATTCCCAACCCATGTTTAATCATTTTTCGGGGCTTCAGTTAAGAAAAAACAATTAAAAGATAACTTTTATAACTGGTACGGTAGGAGAGGGAGAAATGATACACAAATATACCAAGAAAATAATATATAAATTCATTTCTCTCTAGGATAGGCACACATCCATATATAGAATATGACCCAGCATACACAAAAATTAATCACAACCAACTAGGGTTTCTTCCTTAATGCCATTCACACCAAAATAGACAAGCCTTTCCCCCTATATATATATATATATATGTCAAAAGGATGCAAGAAAAGAAACTACAAGTGAAAGAGAGGTTTTATTAATCACAACCAACTAGGGTTTCTTCCTTAATGCCATTCACACCAGAATAAAGAAGCCTTAGAAAAGAAACTACAAGGTCGGCGAAGAGAGGCTTTATTAATCACAACCAACTAGGGTTTCTTCCTTAATGCCATTCACATCAAAATAAAGAAGCCTTTCCCCCTATATATATATATGTGTGTGTCAAAAGGATGCAAAAAAAAAAAAAAAAAAAAAAACTACAAGGTCGGCGAAGAGAGGGTAAAAGCCGCATCCATTGGTAGCTGCTGCTGCTGCTGCTGCTTAGTCTCGTAGCTCATATGGCCATTAGTTTTTTTCCCTGAAAATTAAGAAAGCCAAAATCAAATCAAAATAACTAACTACCAGATAATAAGGATGCACCTATATAAATACTTAAATCAAATCAAAATAACTAACAAACACATAATAAGGATGCAATTTTAGGTACTCAAATCAAATCAAAATAACTAACCAACAGATAATAAGGACGCACATATATAAATAATTACAATTTTAGGTATTCATATGACTCAGCTTTTTCTTATTAAGAATTTTACCTGAATAAAATTCAATAAGCTATGCTTCGAATAAAAAACAATTGCCAAAAACACCAATTCAGAAAACAGTTACCCCTCTCATTTCTTAGGACATTCACAAGATCAATTGGAATCTTGAATTTTATCCCTTCGACTTTTCTCTCCTCTTACCAGGGGTGTGTTTAACAACCTGCCAATAATATGTCAAAAAATCAGAATAAAATCCTTTTCCAGTCTTGTGTTTGACAACCGACCAAAAATTTCAACAACTTGAAATAATTGACCTTACAATACCATCTTCAATGTTGTACTTTCCAAAATGAGTCTTCAATGTTTCCTTGGTTGAACACAAAAGTTTAGAAAATATCCATTATTACCAACATTCTCTTTTGATAATGGTCCATCAAAGCAGACTCATAATCAATTTCTATGTAAGTTAGGACAAGAGTGTGGTTTTCTTTTATAGGACAGTCTTCTGAGAAGATTGTGGTTCCCTGTCCCAAAGTGCAAGCAAAGTGCAAGCAACAAAAGAATAACAGAATTGCAGAACAAACATGCTTACATAACTTGTATGGAAACCATCTTCGGCACCTCTATATGCAACTGCAGGCACCAGATACTTTGGCCTTGACTGTAAACTAGTAGTGGAGTATGCTGAGATAAAAATTCCTTCACACTTTCACTATACATGGTGCATGAGATATTGACCACCTTCAAACCACGAAAAAAAAAAATGTCTACAAATGGAAACAAGACAGTCGCTCACACTTATAGGGAAGATGAATCCTACTGGTTCAAACGAGTTTTAAAACTGTGAGTGCAGAGATTGCAAAGCAAACAAGATCTGAATAGTGTTAGGCATCGTCTCTGTGAGGCATCGTCTCTTCTCTTGAATCTCTTTCTTTCTTTCTTTCTTTGGGAACTTTGGGAATTTAGCATCGTAGAATCATAAGATTCTAAGATCCAGAATCAGGATTTTAGTATCTAGTCTCACACTCTATCCGGCCCAGAATCTATTTAAAATGTTAGTTACAAATCTATTTATCTGTTTTTTCAATTTTATGAAAAATTAAGCTAATAGTATACTTAATATTTAGATAATAAAAATAATATTATAATAAATGTGTATTTTAATGCAAAAAAAAGATAGAAAAACAATGAAAATGGACAAGTTAGCACTAATAGAAAGCTTACCTTTTTTTTTTTTTTCCTATTCCTCCCATTCCAAAATGTAAACCTGCATCAAAAAGATTGAGGGACGTAAATTATACATGCATTGTGGTCATAGTTTGATAGGTGAGATCAATTTTGTATCCATAAACTTTAAATTCTTTAATTTTGGACCCTATCTATTATAATAAATATTCTTAATTGTTTAACCATCAAAATAAAATAATAGACAAATTATTATGAATTGCTTATCCTTGAAAGGATGAATGTTCAAGCCCATCGTCCCTACGAAATCTCTCTGTGCCACGAGACGACAAGCGAGGAAATGACTGAGAATGAGCCAAAGAAGGGCTCAGCAGAGGTTGGGAGATGGACATTGAGCGAGTCATTTAGGGTTAGGGTTTGGAAGCTCGTTGATGGGACTGTTTCGATTTATCTTTATATATGGAAGATAGGGTTTCCAATTTGGACGGAATTCCAATCCATATTGAGAAAAATTGGAGATTGATGGGGGAGAGGAGGGAATAGGGTTTCCAATTTTGGATTTCTTGTATTGAATTTGAAAAGAGTGTTTGGACTTGGACTCATATTGAGAAGAATTGGACAAATACCAAAAAGGGATAAAAATAAAAATAAATTTTATTTCAATTGAATTTCAAAGACACAATCTTATAATATATATATATATATATATATATATATGAGTCCTGATCTTGAAGCAAGAGAATTAATCCACACTTTTTATATAGACCGTTAGATTAAATCTAACGGTCATTTTTCAAACCCACCTACAGTCTTTCCTTTTAACACAAAATCACTCCCACCTACAGTCTTTCCTTTTAACACAAAATCACTCTCACCATATTTTAGTTTCTACATTTAATTCTACAATTACAACCTATTGTAAAAATAAAAGGAAATTACCAAAATTAAAATAGAAAGCCTTTGAAAAAAAATGATATCTTTATATTTTACTAAAAATTTGTTCTTATTTAGAAATTTCTTTCGAAGAAATATCTTTGCATCTCACTTCACCTCTATTTTTCACATTTATGACAAAAAATAAGAATTACAAGAGAATTGATAGGAATTAGACTGTAATAGCAGGCTAAGGTACTATACATTTTTTAATCCATGGACAAAAGTGTGGACAAATGATTACTCTCCATTGGATAAGATTGTGAGAAAATCTTCACCCATTTTTTTTTTTTTTTTTTGGGTTACCTTGTTATTTTTAAGGTAAACTCTATAGTACCACCACAATCAGTACATCATCATCATCCAATAATCAAACTCACAATTTCACCGATTCAATAATGAATTTCACCAAATGCCTAACTTAAAATT